TGTGTTTGTGTGTTTGTTTGTGTTTGTGTTTGTGTTTGTGTTTGTGTTTGTGTTTGTGTTTGTGTTTGTGTTTGTGTGTGTGTTTGTGTGTGTGTGTGTGTGTTTGTGTGTTTTTGTGTGTGTGTGTGTGTCTGTGTATGTGTGTGTGTGTGTGAGTGATCTGCTGTCTGTGGAAACAAACCCCCAACCAAAGTCCCACGCTTCCAGACCCCCCCCCTGTCATACATTATTGTTAGAATTATTGCTAAATATTACCTGCGGATGCAACTAAACCCTCGAAAGAGCAGACCCCACAGACTTGGACGTTGAGACTTGACATCTTCTTGCAGGGTTCAGGGTTGCCGCTCGTCGCGTGGAATGCGGAGAGACTGGCCTGCAGGGGCACGGCCAAGAAGGAGATGCGAGGCTCCTGCACCTGCAGAACGTGTGTTGTCTGTGTTGCGTGCCGTGCGGTCATCCGGCTGATGCTGTGGTGCGGCCGCTGCGGCCTGCATCGTCTTCATCTTCGGAGGAGAAATCTCCGGAGGCTCCGCAGGCTCCCCCCCGCTCCTCACGCTCTTTGCATCCACGGATTGCGGGACCTGCCCGGAGCCACAAGGGGCGACATTCGCGGTCACACCGGGAAAACATCAAATAGCGGAGCAAAGTTGCGAGCTCTTCAGGCGCACCTCCAACGTTGAGGCCTTCTGGGCCTTCTCCTGCTCTCTCTTCTTCTTGTTGTCCATCTTGGCCTGAGAGAATCATCAGGTCACCAGCGATGGAGGCAATCACTCTCCCACCTTCCACAGCAGATTGGCTTTCGTAGCCGCATCCATGTCCTACGGTAGAAGGAAGGTTGCACAGGTTGCACAACCAAAAGCGCAGATTGTCCAACCAAAATGAAGGATCCCTCACACAAAAAGCCGGAACGGCAACCAAAACAGCCGCCCGACCATGACAAGAAATATGTCCCACCAAAAGCAGCCGATTCATCAACCAAAACAGCACATAGCCAACCACTCAGCTCGATTTAACTGTGACCTACCCTAACCTAATCTACTCTGATCCTAACCTGACCTAATCTAACCCAACCTGACCGAACACCCTACAACCCCAACCTGAACAGGCACCGAAAACTTAAGCCGGACCTAACCATAACCAAACCTAACCCAGCATAAAGACGAAAGCCCTCCCATGTAGAAGACCCCACGCAGCCTGACCCTCAAACCCCAACCTGACCCCACACCGCCAACCTAGCCTGACCCAGGACCCAGCCTAAACAGGACTCAACCCAACACCCAAATTGCCAGGGCTTTTCCTTAGGATTACACTCCCTTACCCGCGGCGAGCAACCCCGAGACGTCGTTGTTTGGGGCTTTGACTATAGTTCAACTCATTCAGATTCTTGTATAACTTGTATATTTCAAAAATGTAGCTCTTTAAAAAAGAAACCGGGATATTCGTGGAAGATCTCGGTTTTAGGACAGTAGAAAGAAGATCAGAACGCAATTCCAAAAGAAGAACCTGTTTTTCCAGGTTTCGGAATCATTAGATAATCAAATGTATGGCATGCAGTGTCTAGACTTCAGACCCTTCGGGAGTAAATTTGCAATCGCGTGAAGATCTTGGTACTTGTTAACTTAGAACCAAACGCAGCCCGAAAACGGACTCTTCGTGACCTCGCGGCCGCCTCGCCTCGCAACCTCGCAGCCTCGCCTAACCTCGCCTTCACCTACCTCGCACTCCTCGCGGCCTCCCTCGCTTCTTGCCTCGCACCTTCACGCGACCTCGAGCCCTCACCTGGTCGCGTCCTCACCTCGCGACCTCGCGCGGCGGCCCTCTGGCTCATTGTCAGGATCTAACCTAACCCAGCATAACCAAACACAACCAAACGAAACCCCTCCCCTGCCAGCAGACCCCACTCGCGCCGCCACCAACCTAACCCTGACATAAGCTACACCCCAACATAACCCAACCCAAAATGCCCTAAGCTGACCTATCGCAAGCGAAGCCCAGGCAGCAGATGCGAGAAGTTTGGTT